ACTTGCAGACCGGTGTATCGCTTATCGTCCTTTAAGCAGTGTCATGGTAGCTTCGTTTGCGGAGCAAATATTGTCACACTGTGGTAGAGGATCAAAGACAGCTTTGGAAAGTAAATATAGGAGCTGTTGGTCATGGTAATAGAAGCTGGTATTTTTCCTGCCACCAATAATCTTCAATAGCAAGACCCCAAAGCTATATGCATGAGATTTTTCAGAAAATATCCCGCCCATAGCCACTGCACAGGAAATTCATTATCCACTAACTCATTATTATTCCTGATATAACATGATAAAAAGCATATTACACAAGTTTAGTTGGGAAATAATAACAATTCTGGTAGTAGGAAAGAAATGATTCTTACAGAGTTCCCACAACCTTCTGACTCTGAGTGTTTGCTAGATTCTGTGTCCCTTGAAAGTTACGTGCCAACCAAAATTTGAAATTTTTGGCCTCATTTTCTCATCCAACACCTTCAAACAGGAATCATGGTGGAGATAAACAAGTCCTCTAGCAACACCTTGAATAATGTTGAACCGTTTAGCCCAGTCAAGCACTGCTCTTCTCATTGCCATTAGAAATGAAATCAATAGTTCCCCAGAGTTGGGCATGCTAGGATACAAAGAGCTCAGACGTTATCAATGATATTGAAGAAAGATAGGTAACAATGAGAAATTGCAGCCAAACATAAAGGGCCAGTGAAACTAACCCAATAATATCATATCCAAGCTCTTGTCTCGCATCAACTTCTTATCATCTTTAATGCAGCAACCCATGAGCTTTACAAGATTCTTGTGTTGGACTCTGGAGATCAACAGAAACTCATTCTTCAACACTTCTATGCCTTGCCCTGACCTAATAGATAGTCTTTTTTCGAAAAATCGGCCTAGGCGGCGGCTAGGCGCTAGGCGGCCGCCTAGGCGGGGCCTATTTTTTATATATAGATTTTCTTTTCCTGACCTTAAAGAAAACCTACTGTCGTCTCCTTCTCTCTCTCTCTCTCTCTCTCAAAAACCTCCTGCAAGCAATATCCTTTGTATCAAAAGAGCTTCTTCTTTTTTTTTCTAATTAAGCTTGCCACTTAACTTGGGTAATGTTGTTTTGCTTTGTTTTACACGGATTTAGATTTCAACTACACCAAAGACTCGGTGACGGCGGAGACCAAAGACGAGTACGAAAAATGCCATTCTGCTCATTCCATCTTCTTCTTCAACAATGGCGTAAGGGATGGGTTTTAAAGAGTATAGCCGAACGCTATACTATTAAAATAAAAATATAGTATAGCCGCGCGGCTATACTATTTAAATAAAATAATATATATATATATCTCTATAGAGTATAGACGGACGGCTTTACTATTTAAATAAAAAATATATCCAATATTATAGCCGAACGGCTATACTATTTAAATAAAATATATATCTAGATAGTATAGCCGAACGGCTGTACGATTTAAATGAAAAATCAATGTCCATGTGAACCAACACCTGTTGGACCTATTTTTAGGCCGTTTGGGAAGATAAAATATACCCAACCATGAAGGCCCATATTAGTCACGAGCCTCGTATCCCGACCCAGCCCAGCCGACTAACATGGCTCAATTTTGGTTGAGGGTACTATTGACTTTTCAAATTTCGTTTCAGCTCTTCACTCGATCGAGGGTTGTCATCGACGGCGAACTTGGGGGAAAAGGGCTTGGCTTTCTCAGTTGTGTTTTCCTATTTTATCAAAAATCAAAGCATTTGTCGTCTTTCTTTGGTAAGCCTTCCAATTCTCTACTTTCGCACTATAATTATTTCGATTATAGGGATCTAATCCATGACCTATGAATAGTGAAAATTTAACAATGTAAAAAGAAAAAGAAAGAATCAAAGAGTTAAACTGAAAATGAAAGAATAAAACTTTAATATTCTAGCTTTGAAAGGTAGGTTTAACTATACATGATTGGAATTTGAAGCAGCTGAAAACCCAATTTTTATGTTTTTAATTTTTCAGTTATAACCCAGCATTAGAAATCAAAGGAAAATATTCTGGTTGTTAATGAAAATATATTGTTGGGAAAGAATAGTGTAAATCAGGGTTTTTGATATTTGGTGAATGTATAATTGTATATGCCAATGTGTTTACAAAATTTAGAGAATTTATTCCTTGTTCAAGTCAGGTTGGGTAAATATATTGTAGATATAGCAATCATGACTCATTGGTAATGCTCAATTCTGTGGTATGCAATCATTTGGATGGCATTTAACTTCATAGAAATTCTACGATGGCATTTTAGAAGTGCTTCCATGGCTTACCTTTGAAGCATGGTATCCAAATATGTGGTGTTCCCTCCTCCTTCTTCCCTCTCCTCGCCATTTTTCATTATGATGGAGGTTAGGCAATTAAGAGTCTTGGCCACAGTTGGCCTCTTTAGGTAGACTGGTGTATTTCATCCAAACTGTTAGTTTGGTTTGATTGTAATTTGCGTTGGTGATTGAGGATGCTAAAAGGATTTGGATGAACATCTCGTTCATCCTCCTTCTAACACTTTCTCATTAATAAAATCTCTGTTTCGTGTAAGAAAAGAAAAACTAACTTAGTTTGAGGTTGTATTACGTGCAATCCAGTTTCACCATGAGTCCAATATTTCTCTGTAAAATACAGGAGGCTATTGCCTGCACACCCACATCCATGCATGCATATGCACACACACATTTGAATTATGGCCATCATGTTCCATTTTTTCTTTCATTTGGCAGATACTGGTCCACACTTGCAAGGGATTTACAATTTGCTGGTCTAATGGTATGCTGAATGGTGATAGTTTGTATGTCTCATCCTTTTCTTTAGTCCTTTACATCATTTGCCTTGTAACACTGGTAAAGTAGGATTGCAACTCTTAATAGCCATTCAAATAGGCTTGCAACTTCTTAACATGCATCCCCCACACTAGTTATTGTTTAATTTTGTCCCAGAAAGGAAAATTCAGACATGCCGTCTTTTGATCATTGGTGAATGATATAAGCAGCTAGGCTTTTGGCCTATAAAGGATTTAGTTGTCATCATTTATTTTCTCTTGACTTAACAATCTCGGGTTCTTCTTTCTAGTAGTTTTAATTCAAAATTATGATGTGTTTTGTACCATGCAGGTTATTATGAAGGCTTGACAATGTGACAGTATGGGAAGTAAGTCCATATGCAGGTCTGATTTAGCTTCAGCTCTTGGAGACCATCTCAAAGAAGGATTGAGCAATGATGACACGCACGAAGTTGCTAGCATGTCAGTAGAGTAAAAAGATATCTTTACAGGGGCGGTGTGAGAAACTTGCACTACACTTCTTCCCAATCCCATATAGGCAGCTAGTTGTTGAATAGATTTAGGCATTTTCATGTATCCAAGAAATAATTTGAATGAGACTTTAGTAATGTTTTCTAGTAATATGTTTATGTACATTTAAAGATATGGAAAACGAGGTTTTTATTTCTTTTGTGCCTCTCAAAATCACTAATTTTCTGTGGGAAAGACGATTTAAATTATCTTCCCACTTCTACCAGCGGTTTTTATATTCGTCGAAATAGGATATTGTAGCTGCGCCTAGAGACGGTTTTTAACGTTGCTAAAGAATTTTAAGACGAACGGAGCATTTAAATCGTCAAGAAAACTATTTCGACGAACGGAGCACTTCAATAATTCAGACGCAATAAGATTGATGGGAGCTCACTCATTTTATTCAATTAGTATTCTATTGTACCACAACCCCGCCATCTTATTATCCTTTTTCTTTGGTGAGTGAGTCTTCTAATTCTCTGTGTTTACCACTTCAATTTGATCTCATGGCACAGAAATAGCGACAATTTAAATAAATAAATATGAAGAAAAATTTGATTCTAACATATTAGGGATTTATCAGAAAACACAACAAAGATAACAATTTGTTTTTGAAAGTTTCAACCACTGGAGAAAGATTAGTTTTACCTACTAACTTGGACAAGCCAGCATAACCATATTAGGTTAAATTAAATTGCGTATTGAATACAAACAAGCTGTAGAAGTTGGAAAATCTCTGTCCGAGTTGGAAAAAAAAAAAACAATTGGTCATTTTCACAAGGGAGTTGGCCGGATTCATTTTAGTCTGAGAATGACTAGCTTGTTTGGTTTGATCATTTGTTTAATTAGAGGACTTAGTTTGTGGGTCAACTGAAAAACCAATGTCCATAGGAACCAACATCATCTTAGGCTCCGGACAGTTAGTCTGTTGTCTTCAAGCATTCTCAAGCTCGCAGCTTGTTCTAATTAACTGAATATAACTGTGTCAAGAAACTGACATCAAGATGTATATCATATATAAAATACCTAACAAAACCAGTAGATGAACTTGTTTTAAGCCTCTTCACAACACCTATTTTGTACAAATTCTCTGTCTTCATATTTGAGCTCTGCATCCAACTGTCTTCTGCCGGAAGAAACATGACTTTCGACAAGTATATGTGCCTCGTTCTCTCGGCTGTTTCTTTTATACTTACAATTCCTCATGCAGGTCAGCTTCCTTCTAGTAATGAAAGCTCTGTGCTGAATTTTGATTCTATTATACCATGTCACTTATAAGTTTCATTGTATCATAATTTAGCTGCTTATGACCCACTGGATCCGAATGGGAACATTACATTGAAATGGGATGTCATATCCTGGACTTCCGATGGTTATGTGGTAAGTAGTTTGGTTCATAACATTTGCTATATTAGAAGAAGCAATCACCTTGGTTTTCCTACTTTATCAGATAATGACCATCTGAATCTTTGATGGAGCAATAACTTTTGCAAGAATCTCACATCAGCTTGATAATTCATGTGACATGCATTTAATAATAATTTGAGTGCCTCTAGCAGAGAAATTTGAATTCATGCTTACTGACTTCAAGGAAAATGAAGGAGCAGAAGAAGAAAAATTGCATATTGATTAATGTTGATTGTCAACAAATGTTCTTTAAAGATGTATGCTGTACAATTACAAAATTTCAGGCAGTTGTGACGACGAACAACTTTCAAATGTACCGGCACATCATGAGCCCTGGCTGGACCTTAGGATGGGTATGGGCAAAGAAAGAGGTCATCTGGTCCATGGTTGGAGCACAAGCCGTTGACCAAGGAGACTGTAGCAAGTTTAAAGGAAACATACCACATTGTTGTAAGAAAAATCCTACAGTTGTTGACTTGCTCCCTGGTGTCCCCTACAACCAACAGATTGCCAATTGCTGCAAAGCTGGTGTTGTGGCATCATGGGGTCAAGACCCTTCAGCTGCTGTCTCTTCCTTCCAGCTGAGTGTTGGGCGCTCTGGAACTTCCAACAAAATCGTCAGACTACCAAAGAATTTCACTTTGCTTGGTCCAGGACCAGGCTACACTTGCAGCCAAGCAAAGATTGTGCGATCTACAGTTTTCAACTCACCTGATGGTCGTCGAAAAACTCAAGCGCTGAGTAAGTATCTTTAACTAAAGAAAAAATATCGAATAAGACTGATTTTGCTACAATTCTAACTGTATATTCTTGTTTTCAGTGACTTGGAATGTGATATGTACCTACTCACAGTTGCTGGCGTCTCGCTACCCAACCTGTTGTGTCTCTATGTCATCATTTTACAACTCTACAATCACTCCTTGTCCAACTTGTGCCTGTGGTTGCCGAGACAAAAAGAAATGTATTGTGTAAGCATTTATCACTCATCAGTTCTGCTTTCTAACTCAACTAAATGTCAAAAACACTACGGTCCAGCAGTCATATACATTCTAGAATCTAGATTGAGGCATGCATCTCAGTAACTGACATTCAGACCGAAACATACTAATGCAGGAGTGATTCAAAGTTGTCGAGTGTTGTGGGAACACACACACCAACAAAGGATAACACCCCGCTGCTTCAGTGCACACAACATATGTGCCCAATTCGGGTACATTGGCATGTGAAAACAAACTACAAGCAGTATTGGCGTGTGAAGATTACCATAACTAATTTCAACTATCAGTTGAATTATACGCAGTGGACGCTTGTGGTTGAACATCCAAATCTCAACCATATTACGGAAGTTTTTAGCTTTGTCTACAAGCCCCTGACCCCATATCAATCCAAGAGTAAGTCCAGACTTTTCCATACAGGACTTAGGGAGTCTTGCAAGTAACAACTAAATATATTTCAAAAGAAAAGCATGCACTTTTGGAGCTAAGACTTGTACCATTTGGTTGTGCAGATGACACTGGTTTGTTTTACGGCATAAAATTCTACAACGATCTCCTAAAAGAAGCTGGGCCAGAGGGAAATGTACAATCAGAGTTGATTCTTGAGAAGAATGCAAACACATTCACATTCAAGGAGGGTTGGGGTTTCCCTCGTAAGGTCTATTTCAATGGGGATGAATGCATGATGCCCCAACCTGATGAATTCCCAGGTCTACCAAATGCTGCCCATACAAATCTAATTACAGTACCAAAATTGGCTCTCTTTTGGCTTCTGATGTTTCTGGCTCTTCCCTAATCATTTAACAGAAGATCGAAACAGGAGCAATGCCATATGAACATCAAAACACTTATTATAAGGCTCTTGTGGTGGGTTAACGAAGGTGATGTGAGTATGTAAGTGTTATATATAAATTGCTTGAACCTGTGTTTAAAAGAAACCAACTCCTTGCCCGATAAGGTAGAGAAGGCCGAAAAACAAAAGACCAAACTATATGCCTTTCTTCTTCACATATTTCTAATCATTCCCTGGTATTGCTACTCTTCTAACTCTACTGGTGAAGCGCAACAGCTCAAAAGAAATTAAAGGCAGAAAAAAAAGAAGAATAAAGCTTTTCATGGGTTCCATTAGTTTTCGAGCTAAAACTAATCTAAGACACACCCATAAGGCATTCTGATAAAAAAATCAACACAGAATCTGATCATATTTCGAACATTCTAAATTCTACAACTTCTTGAATTCTGTATTATAAAAAAAAGGACAAAAGCTTTGCTACATAATAAAGATGAACTAATTCGATCAAACAAAAAAAAGGACGCCAGGTTTCAATACCTTTTGGTGGGTGGTATGTACAAATGCGTTGGGCGCTTTTGATTTTCATGTTTTCCTTCTTCGTGCAGAAACAGAAACAAAGTCAAGTCGCTTTGCTGGTGGAGAGTTCATGACAATCGAGGGAGAAGAAGAAGAAGAAAGGCTCGCTTTGTGCTGTCAGTTTTCAAACACGTGTAAAGTTGTTTTCTTTCTTAAGGAAACCCTAAGGTTTAAGGTCTTATTCGGAATTATTGGCAAATTGCGAGTTGGCCCTTTTGCATAAATTAATTTTGAGAGTTGAGCAATAACTTTGGTAATGATTGAATTGAATAAGGGACCAAAAGAAACCGGAAAACTTGAAATTGAAGCAAACCAATTACAACATGTTTCTTGGGAAGCAATATATAGCATGACATAAGGTATGCCCAAAAAAGGAAGAGTGTGTGAAGGGACTGAGCGTTGGGCTGTTGTTGTCTCAGTCTTCAGAGCCTCTCAAAATTCTTCCGCCAGCTTTTACATCATTCATCACCAAAACTTGCTTCAAGATGCAGAAACACAGCAAACAAACAGCCAATATCTTTAAATAAATGAATTTAATTAAGGTATATGTGTGTAACAATCAAATAAGATGAAATATCACATGGACATGGAAGTGCCTAACAACCAGTAGGTGAGGCTTTCACTTTCATTCTGGTGTCCTCTATCTTTTCCTTCTTAACATCCTGGTTTGCCAGAGTACATCTTGTCTCCTCTTAAGTCCTCGCCACTGCCGGAGAGCTTGTGATCCGGTGAACTGAAATCATGGAATTCAAAAACCAGGCCAACCCAACTCCCAAAGTCCACCTTGAGGTGGAAACATGTTGCTCTTGGTCTTGGCTCAAGTTCACAATCTTGGCTGTGCTATGTTGCATGGTATTATCTCCTGCAGGTAAATTTCTGACAACAAATCCAGCTTGAAAATACGTTGTCTTTGATCTTTTTCTGGTTACATTTGCTTGTCCGCTAACAATAGCTTCATGGTTTATGACTTTTAGCTGCATATGATCCATTGGATCCAACTGGAAACATAACGATCAAATGGGATGTTATGTCCTGGACACCAGATGGCTATGTTGTAAGATATCATTTGAATGACTTTTTGTATATGTTGATTTACTTACAAATCAAATTTATTTATTAAAAAATAAAATAAAAATCATAATAGGCAATCCCTTCATTGAATTATGCTAGGCTGCAGTGACTATGAACAACTTTCAAATGTACCGGCAAATCATTAGCCCCGGCTGGACTCTAGGGTGGTCATGGCAAAAGAAGGAAGTAATTTGGACCATGGTGGGAGCTCAAACCACAGAGCAAGGAGACTGTTCCAAATTCAAAGCAGCCATCCCGCATTGTTGTAAGAAAACTCCAACAGTTGTTGACTTGCTTCCTGGAGTTCCTTACAACCAACAGTTCACCAATTGCTGCAAGGGCGGTGTCCTGGCATCTTGGGGACAGGATCCTACAGCTTCAGTCTCTGCCTTCCAGGTGAGTGTCGGGCAAGCTGGTACCTCAAATAAAACAGTGAAACTCCCCAAAAATTTCACCTTGCTTGGTCCAGGACCAGGGTACACTTGTGGCCCTGCAAAGGTCGTGCCATCCACAGTCTTCCTCACGACTGATCGCAGGCGAAAGACTCAAGCCCTTAGTAAGATATTTTCATTCTCGCGTTTCCAAGATCTTCCTACTCTTCTTCTATCTTTTTTTTTCTTTTAAATTTTTAGATGGTTGAAATCTGATGTTAAAGAAAACTCTTGAAACTGAGTCGCATGGCATGTTCCTTCTGATGCAGTGACATGGAATGTGACATGCACCTATTCACAGTTCCTTGCCTCCAAAAATCCAAGCTGTTGTGTTTCGTTTTCATCTTTCTACAATGAAACCATCGTTCCTTGCCCATCTTGTGCTTGTGGTTGTCACAATAAGAAAAACTGTATCAAGTAAGCCTCCATAACCTATCCACATATAAGCATATGCATATCCGTACACACTTGACTTACTGGATGCAATTGTTTTGCAATGCAAACAGGAGTGATTCAAAGTTAGCACACAAGACAGGAATAAACACACCAAAAAAGGACAATACACCGTTGCTTCAGTGCACACATCATATGTGCCCTATCCGAGTTCACTGGCATGTGAAGCTTAACTATAAGGCATATTGGCGCGTCAAGATTTCCATCACAAATTTCAATTATCGGATGAACTACACGGAGTGGACACTCGTTGCGCAGCATCCTAATCTCAACAATGTCACTCAAGTCTTTAGCTTTGATTACAAACCCCTTCTCCCCTATGAGTCCATTAGTAAGTCTTTTGCTTCTCAAGCTTCTCTTTTTTTTTTTTTACTTTTTTTTTTATAAACATTTCTTTTGGAATTTTGAGTTTCCTACTAACAGATGACCTTGATTGACCATATATGCAGATGACACTGGCATGTTCTATGGCATGAAGTTTTACAATGACTTATTAATGGAAGCTGGGCCATCAGGAAATGTTCAGTCTGAGGTGCTTCTGCAGAAGGACCAGAACACCTTTACATTCAAGCAAGGATGGGCCTTTCCTCGAAGAGTTTATTTCAATGGTGATGAATGTATGCTGCCCCCACCTGATGCATACCCAGCTCTACCAAACTCTGCCCATGTAAATTCTATTTCAATCTTCAAAATGGCAGCTTCTGTACTTCTGATATTGTTTTCTATATGTTTTTCACTTTCCTGATAATTTTGAAACGTTGGAGTAAAAGAAGTGGTCTTGTGTGTGATAATTCAGCATAGATAGTGAGCTTGGGAAACTGTATCTGAAATCCTTGCTATAATGTCCCACGATTTTTTAGCCCAGTTCATGGTGCACAATAGCAAACGAAATTGCTTTGCTCCTTTACTAAATGTTTTCTCTTGCAATTTCACTTATGAAAATTGTTTAATATTGTTTTCTTTCTGCAGTATGTGACTGGATGTGTATTGTGAACTCAACAGGAAATCGAAAATAATATAAACACCTCTTTGAACAAAAATCATACACCAACTTTGATTTCTTCTGAAATATCATATAATGCTAAGAACATATTCACTGGATCATTCTAAATAATCGTACAACTGCTAAATTTAAACAAAAACAACAGTAAAAGAATAAAGTGTTAATACGTGTAACAGATATTGAAACAGAATTTTGTAGTGACAGTTAAGCCGTAGTGCACCTGAACCACTTGTATAGATAGAAGTCACAGTAACACATTTGACCCCATCAACTGGATTTCCATATGCTTTAGTGCAACTTGAACTTGATCGAAAATTCTACTATGTAATGAAAAAACAGATAGCTATTGTTGTCTGGCCCAGGCACACTCACTATGCATAAGCCAATAAGAATAGCAGAGATACGAAGATGGTGACGGCGGGATGAAGTATGGAAATGACTTGTTTGGGACTGGAATTTGGCAACCATGGATAGGCATCTGGAGGTGGCATGACACAATTGTCACCATTAAAATAAATCCTTCGAGGAAAAGCCCATCCCTTTTCAAAAGTGAAAGTCGATGCATCCTTTCGAAATAGGAGCTCTGACTGCACATTTCCAAGAGGGCCAGCTTGTGTGAGCAAATCGTTATAAAACTTTACTCCCCACAACATGGCAGTGTCATCTGCACAACCAAAATTTGTATTGCCAAACTTTATGTCTATGAAAGCCCAAAGAACTGCATTGATAATATATTGATTTGAAAATTATTAAAATCTACTTCACACAAATTGATGAAGGTCAACAAAAAACTTACTTAAGCCAGCATAAGGAGTTAGGGATTTGTAATTGAAGCTGAAAATCTTGGTCAAATTATCAAAGTTGGGATGTTGCACAACAAGATTCCAGAGCGTGTAGTTCATTCTGTAATTGAAATTTGTAATTGTGACTTTCACTCTCCAGTACTCCTTGTAATTGAGCTTCACATGCCAATGGACTCGGACTGGACACATATGGCTAGTACACTGGACCAGAGGAGCATTAGTAGATTTTCCAGGACCTGATACAGCTGAAGCTAAATATGGATTGTTCGGCCTGCAAAGCAGTATCAACAAAGGAGAAAATATTTATGATTTAGTATCACTGCAAACTCTGCCTGAGAAAAAGAAGATCAAGAAATGCAACAAATATATGAATTAGAACACTTACTCTACACAGCTCCCAGGGTCTGTAGCGTTGTTCTGGCAGCCACAGGCACAAGTGGGGCAGCTTACTATGGTCTCATTATAGAAGGAGGAGAGAGAAACACAACAAGTGGGTGTCTTTTGAGCCAGGAATTGCGAGTATGTGCAAGTAACGTTCCAGGTCACTGCCAGAAGAGGATGTCAAAGTTAAATAAAGCATGAAATTTTATTTTCCCATATTTTAAAGTATATGACTGTACTTATCGTTCCAATTGCATCTTTCACTTGGAACATTTGAGGAGCGGCTTGAAACTACACAATTTTTTAAACCTAAGCTGAAACTATTCCTATTGATATGTTAACAGATACTGCATCCAAGGACGGAACCATAAATTTTTATAGGGGTGGGCTATTATTTCTTATATGGGTAAGGATCTAAATAAAATTCCATTTATTTTCTCATAGGAGAAAACTTGAAGCTAACTGGAGATCTGTTTGGATAGGACACGCTAATTTTTGCTTAGATGGATTGGGCTAATTTTTGTAAAATGAAGTGTAGTGCCTAAAAATTAGTATTAAATTTCTTTTTTCCCAAACTTTGCACTAGGCTAGAGCCCAATCTAGCCATAGTGTAGTTCCATCCTTTACCGCATCTATGTCATAAACCAATGGCTTATGTTCACAGTCCAGAGTAACTCTATAGTAACTCTGGGTTACTGTAAATACCTTAGCAATTAACTCAGTCAAAGCTCTTTTCTTCTCTATTCTTCTTTCCATCCTTTACCGCATCTATGTCATAAACCAATGGCTTATGTTCACAGTCCAGAGTAACTCTATAGTAACTCTGGGTTACTGTAAATACCTTAGCAATTAACTCAGTCAAAGCTCTTTTCTTCTCTATTCTTCTTTGTGGTAGCAGGGGGAGAGGGTAGTTTTGTGTACTTACTCATGGCTTGGGTCCATCTCCTTTTATCCGCTGTTAGAAATCTGGTTGGTTTTACAATCTTTGCTATCCCACAAGAATATCCAGGCCCAGGTGCCTTCAAGGTGAAGTTTTTCGGCATTCTGACAGTTTTGTTAGTTGTTCCTGCAGCACCCACACTGATCTGGAACGAACTTATAGCATTGGCTGGGTCCTGGATCCATGAGTTCATTACTCCCCCTTTGCAGCAATTTGCAATCTGCTGGTTGTAAGGAGTTCCTGGCAACAAATCCACAACTGTTGGATCCTTCTTACAGCAATGTGGGACATTCCCTTTGTATCTTGAACAATCCCCTTGCTCGGTGGTTTGTGCTCCCACCATGCTCCAAATTACTTCCTTTTTTGCCCATGTCCATCCTAATGTCCAGCCTGGTGTTTGTATATGTCGATACTGCTGGAAGTTAAACATTGTAACAACAGCCTGCCATTTCAAATAATACAGTTTGTATCAGAAAGTCAAGGAAAAACACAAGTAAAGGATTATATCTCGGGAAATAGAACTACAAGGTGATTGAAATGATCAGTCAGGTCAGGGAGTACTAAATGAGGTTCTCCATGATATCTAGCACTACTAATATAGTTACACCATTGACATTAACAACAAAACACAGATGGAATATAATTCTAATTCCAAACCTGGTTCCTCTTTTCTTGATTGAGTTTCTAGAAAACATTAAAAATCCAGTGAGAATATGAACAAATTAACTTTGCATCTTTTGAAAACACGAAAATTTAGTTTAAAATTGATATATATATAACCGAGATAAAGCTTTAAGCTGAGTCAATCTAATGATAGCCCATGCTTAGAAAGCATCAAATAAAGGCAGCATTATCACATAAAAGGAATGATCTGCTCATTAATACTTACAACATAGCCATCTGGAGTCCAACTAATGACATCCCATTTAATTGTGATATTCCCAGTTGGATCAAGGGCATCATAGGCTTCTGCAGAAACATCGAGCAAAACACAGCTCAATACATCAATCCTCAAAATTCTCAAAAGGGTTGACTTTATTATAAGTACACGATTTACTTGTCAAAACTTTAGTTCTTTTCAATTTTCTTTCTATGATATGAATTATGAAAAAAAATATATCAAGGCATTTATACTGCTGCTTCACTACATATCAACAAAAATTTCCAGCTCGTCGATATTAGTACACTCTGTAGCTTAATTGTTAGAATCTTTTATCTCTAGCTAATATCTGAAATTCAGCTAGATTCCATTCCCTCCGGTGAAAGCAATAATAAAGGACTAGAAGAGATCGAATTTAAAAGGAAATATCAATCACTCAATGCTTCACCTCTCCAAATTTAGGAAGAAAAAAAAATACGCAAAAAACTCAAATTTCATAAAAGAATTACCTACCATCCAATCATGTCTTTGAAAGTTAAATTCTTCAAATACCAAAACAAGTAACAGGTAAATAACTAAAACCCAGAAATAGAAAACAAGAAAACCACTTTCAAGAAACTAAATTTGGAACCACGGGCCAAAAAGCAGACATGGGCACTGACCTGTAGAAGTAAAACTGAAGCATGAAAGCCAAAAGACAAGCAAAATGGCAAAGCTGCTGAGCTTGACTATGGATCCAGTGTCTGATAAGTACCGAGGCTCCATTTGTTGATGCAGATTTAGTTTTAACAGTGATGTTTATTGATTTAGCTCAAGATCTGCCCAGAAAACAGAGAGAGACAGAGAAAGAGAGCGATGTGGAGCTGGCCAACGGGGAATGGCTGGCTTTCTTTTCACATGGCAAGTGACTTTTTAAAGCTCACTCTAATCACTGCTTTGAGGAAGAAATCGATCCAGTTAATGTCACTCAAGTTTTGTCCTTGTGTCACAACATGCACACCTTAATTCCATTTGTACCCTTTGCAGTATTCAGCTAACTCGAAGGATATTTGCCATGAAATGTTACAAATCTTCCCATATGAGAATGGGTTTGACTATGTTTTATCGGTAAGAGTAGAACTTTCATAGTGAGGGACATTTTTGGAACAGAGAAAAAACATAGCATATATATTTACTGAAAACCAACTTAAAAACATATAATAAAAGGACTTCTAAGGCAGACAGCAAAGGCTGTGGGCCATAAGGCATCCTTCAGTGTCGGTGGAGAGCGAATTCAACAACTTGTCCGCTGGGAAAGAGATGTGGTGCATTTGGGTCTTTGCAATTTGTCCAAATCTTTTGCTCTAACCACCAGATTATAACATAAATTGGTATTTTATTCTTTTTGGCAATTATTATTCATCATCTTCCGTCTCACACTTGCACAGTCCACGTTAGGGCCATCTCCCTTTCCTTTATTCAGTTTTGTGAGATTGTCTTATATTGTTATACACAAGTTTGATTCTTTTCTAGGTATAGGCCTACAATTATTTGGTTTGCATATATTCATAGCTTCACGACACGTCGTTTTTTTCCGAACGACGAAACATAAAGGCATAAACTTTGGGTCTGGGGCGAAAGGGTTTTAGCCAGAAATGGAGAACAGCAGCTTGGAGCAGGTTCTGCAAGATGCCAAGCTCCACAGACAAATCAATTCGCTCATCGTCGCTCATCTTCGCGACAACAATCTCTATCAGGCAAACAAGTTCTTCTTCTTCGTCACATATGTATATATGTGTATATGTGCGTGTGTGTGCTTTTGGTTGCTGAGTGAGTGTAGGAAAACTTAAGATATTGAATTTTCAACATAATGGTTCAGTTTTGGTTTGGTTTGTGGACAGTAATGGGTAATTAAGCTGACTTAAGTGGGTCTCATTCGTTTTCCATGATCATATTGGGAAGATGCTACAGTCTCAATCTGGAAAGTGAACTTCTTTTAACTCGCAGATTTCTTAGTTCCCGGAAAATGTAGAAAATTAGTTGCTGTGAAATTCGAATTTGTAAACTTGACTCACCTGAGGCCTTCATAAGCATTTGGCTCTTCTAAAGTTTCAGTTTTTCTTTCTTATTTTCTTGGTTTATTGGGGGAGGGAGAATTATCTTATGGAAGAAAATGTTAAATGCCTGTTATGATTGATGAAAAAATTGAGGAAGATTATGATATAATGAGACTTTGAGTATTCTGATCTTATGTTGGAATAGAAGAAAGAATTGTAGCAGATTGAGCTGATTGGTGATCTTTCTTATTTGTAGGCTGCTAGTGTCGTTGCTTCCGCAACAATGACATCATTGAATGATGAAGCCCCGCCTAATAAGCTCCTTGAACTGGTTGCCAAGGTTTGTATTTGCATTTCAAGACTTATTTTCCCCCTCTGTTTCAGTGTTATTTTTCATTGTTTAAACTCGAAAAGAAAGTTTTGATTCTAAGGTGATAACAGGGCCTTGCAGTGGAGAAAGATGAGATGTTGAGAGGGGTTCCGTCAGCTGCATTTGATTTGGGTACATCAATACCTTCTGGATATGGTTCAATCCCAGCTCCTCGCACTGCTGCTGTTGATTTTGGGTAATTATGTCTTTGGAACCTCTGTCATTTGATTACTGTTTAATGCCCTTTGGTGTTTGCCTTATGGCTATGTCAATGGTTTTGAGTATGCCACAAACGATATGGGGATTTTCTATAATTCATTGTTGTAGACAAAACAGGAGATAGAGCAGTCGCATGCCCGACCAAGCCCTTTAAAATTTACTATTCTTTGTTTTGAATGCTTTCATCATTACCTTTCTTCAAGGAAAATGAAGGAGATGGAGGGATCATTTCATTGTTTTTTATCATATAATATTTGCAAAATTTTGTCAATAAACCGACGTTGGTACATCTCTTGTGCAAACAGTGCAGTGCAGGAAACAAAAGGCTCATCAAAGAGCTTCCCAAAACATGAGACACGCCATCTTTCAGAGCACAAGGTATGCATAAATAGGGAAAACAAATTATTGTATAACATCTATATTTATTTTATTAAGCCACTAAGTTGGCATGATAAAGATCACTTTCCACTGGGCATCTTACTTGACATGATGGGTTAAACTTTCTAGAATATTGCCAGATGTGCAAGGTTTAGTCCTGATGGGAAGTTTGTTGCTACTGGAAGTTCTGACACATCAATAAAGCTTTTTGAGGTGCTGATTCTTTTAGCTATAAAATTGGTTTTTTCTTCAATGTGGGCCCTATCTAATTCTCAGGCAGTCATATTCTGTTTCAGATTGCAAAAATTAAGCAAATGATGCTTCCAGATGCAAGAGATGGTCCTGTGAGACCTGTCATTCGCACATTCTATGACCACTTACAAGTAAGCCAACCTTTGTTCCTAATATTTTGAAGGCTAAGTATTGCTTTGCCCATGGAATATTTTTATTTCAACCACAAACATTGTTCAATTGAAAGCGTTGTATATGAGCCTCTTATGCTGACTTTGCCATGACTTTGTTGAGGAACGTTAGACAAAGAAAATGCTTCAAGTATGATAATATGAAATCTATAGCTCCAAAATTACATATAACATTTTTACCCCTTGAGTTGTCAAATTTTGTCTGTGTGTAACATTTGGATTAAGCTTGTTCTTTGAAACTTGGATTCTTTTAATTTATTCCCATTTGTTTTTATTTTCTCATTCAAAGACAATTGGACAATGTTGTGGGATATCTCCTTATGTCTAATATTGTTCGGATTCAATTGCAGCCTATAAATGACTTGGATTTCCATCCTCAGAACACTGTTCTTATATCGGGGTCAAAAGATAACACCATAAAGTATGGATTCTTTACTTTCTTAAATAATATTGAAAGTCCATTGTTTAGTTATTGATAAGTTTTTTTTTTTTAATCCTTGCAATGCCAGCAACAAAACATGTCTTCATGTCCCTCTTATTATTGCCCTTTTTAGTTCTTTGCTGTTTTTTTTCCTCCTTTCACCCTCGAAGATTACCAGCATTAGTTGTAAAACAAAACAGGAGTTCACTTCAAACTCTTATGTAAGTCTTGTTACTACTTTCAGGTTCTTTGATTTTTCCAAGATGACTGCAAAGAGAGCATTCAGAGTCATCCAGGTTGTACTTGTGATCTGATAATAGATTGAAGCATAGTAGAGAACGACATTTCTTTATTAAATTCTTTCTTTTTAATGACACAGGATACACACAATGTGCGTTCAGTATCTTTTCATCCTTCTGGAGATTTTCTTCTAGCTGGTAATGTTATTCTATTTTTCTTTTTCTATTTTCTTGGTGTAATGAAGTCTTGCTTTAACCAATTTGATGTTCCATGCAATCTATGAATTGGTGTTTTCTAGATACGATGGCAAGAATGTGTACATGTGTCTTGGTTCTTATTCAAATGGAATTAAATTCTTTACACTTGCTATCATTTACTTATAGCTTCATTAAATCTTTTAGTAATATATCATATGCATTGTTTTTCTTATAAAAAAAATTGTTGTAAAGCTGATGTATGCTGAAGTTGATAGAGAAATTTATAATGCTCTTATGTAATCTCCAGAAGTATTATTTTACATTAAGCTTGACCTGTATTTAGTGCCAATAGATGGCCACCAGAGGCTAGAGTTGCTATAAGGATGAATTAACTAACTTGATGAGATCAACCTTGTAACAAATGAGCTTTTATCCACACACACACACTGAAATACCATGCATTACATGTTAAATGTCAGAGCTCATTTCAAGGAGCAGTGCAATTGAGGCCACTGTTCACAATACAGGTATCTTAAATTATCTAGATCTGTGAGGAGTGCTGCTAAGGCTATTTCTTTCTTCTTTACTTGAACTATTATCATGCATTCATACAGTGAATAGGCTTCTAATAATGTTTATATTAAAAAATATATATTACAGGGACTGATCATCCAATTCCACACTTGTATGATATCAATACCTTCCAGTGCTACCTGTCTGCAAATGCCCCAGAAATCGATGTTAACGGAGCAATAAATCAGGCATGGTTGACCCCATCTATTTATTCATGCTTCAAGTTCTATTTTCCATTGTTTATAGATAAATACAACTCGATGAGGGCCATCAAATCCACATCTTTGTGCATCAGGTCAGGTATTCAGCTACAGGTGGCATGTATGTTACAGCTTCTAAAGATGGTACCATTCGTTTATGGGATGGTGTAACTGCCAATTGCGTACGCTCAATAGCTGGTGCACATGGCACGGCGGAGGCAACCAGTGCAAACTTTACTAAGGATCAAAGGTATAGATCATGGAATTGATATAAGCTCTGAAACATGATATATGTGAAATAATCATCCATGAGTAGAAAATTGTGAAAGTACATGTGTATAGAGAGGTGGCTTTCTTATGTGAAATAATGTTTCTGTATTTAAGTTGTTTCATAAATGTTGGATAACAGGGATAAGGAATATTATGATTGTATGTTCTTGTGGAATATCTGCCTTTAGATGTGCTAGAACATCACTGTAAATTTAGTTCACCGCTCAATTATTTCTAAAAAATTTATTTTGCAAGCGTCCTGTTCTCTGTGATATGACTCAAATGCTGGCTTTCTAGGTTTGTTCTCTCTTCTGGAAAGGATTCTACTGTAAAGCTTTGGGAAGTCGGCACTGGAAAATTGGTTAAACAATATCTAGGAGCTACACATACTCAATTGCGGTGTCAGGTATACCAGAAAGGCCTTTTGGAGGTTTTCCTTAAAAGAAATAAAAATAAAATATTTTAGGTTGAGCATCTGTGTGTTTTAAACACTTTTTTTAAATATATAAATCTCTTCCTCCCCTCGCCTCTCCTTCTGATTTAAGTATGCAATTCCTTATGCCAGAGAAAATGGCTACAAAGTCCTCTGTCAACTACGTAAAATGCTAAAAAAGAATCTTCTCCCTCAGCCCCATCTGAATCAATCTCCACCACACTTTAATTATCCTTGTGCACTATTATCCTCTCAGGATGTGAGGAATCCAAAAAAGAAAATATCAAAATTTGGTTTTATAGGTGCTTTTATACTTCTATGCAGGCTGTTTTTAACGATACTGAAGAATTTGTACTCTCCATCGATGAACCAACCAATGAGGTTCGTTCACTCTTACTGCGTTTAAATGAAATATTGTGGTATTTAAATGAGCAGAACAAAGGTTTTAATTGATGAATATGGGATGGTTGCAGATTGTTGTATGGGATGCTCTGACAGCAGAGAAAGTAGCAAAATGGCCTTCCAATCATATTGGTGCTTTCCGTTGGCTTGAGCACTCACCAACAGAGGCAGCATATGTTACCTGTGGGACGGACAGATCAATCCGGTTCTGGAAGGAAAGTCTGTAAAGCCTGCAGAAATCGGCTGGTGGCTTTCCTGATGTGAAGAAATGTAGATTGATCATTTGACTTAGGATTTACTCATGTCCCGTAGAACTAGATAAATGAATAGAGTGTAACCTACAAATGAACCCCAACTTAAAATGGTTCCAGTATGGTCAGATAAAGTGTTATTTTGTTTTCTTTTCCGTTTTAGTTATCAAGTCTTTCCGATTTGCATACTCTTCACTGTTCAATTACCAGATACAATAATTTTAAGAGTAATCTAAAGTCTTCTCTTTGAATAGAAATAATAATTCAGATTCAGATCCACGACCGTCAATTACTGTAATGCCTCTTTAAATGACTTGCACGCTTTCACCAGCTGCTTGCCCTATCCACATTGCCTCTTTAATTTCTAAAAAAGATTGATCATAAATCATGAATGTTCCCGAACAAAAAGGCAAAAAAGCATGAAAGTAATTTGTCATTGCATTTCTAGCATGGTTTCTCTTTTCCCTCTCCCTGATGCGTCTTCGAAGAAATTACTGCATTAATTGTAACCTATCATCTGGAACATATATAAGTCTCCATACCAGAGAAAGGTCTTAACACCACCAGCTAAAAGAAAGTGTGCTGCGCTACTTAGCCAACAAGCCCCACAACCCATAAAATTTCCTAGACAATCATCGACGACACGACAGTGTTTAAGGCCAGGGAAACACTGTCGTTGAGCAGATTATGCGGGGCCAAAAAAGGAGGCAAAACCAGAACATCACGTATGCAAATGACAAAGTATATCTGCACCTATGGGGTTCCACAATCCAAAGTATAGGCATATCGAGCAAAGAGTATCGAAAGATTATTGTCTAACACAGGTTTGGAAAGAGAATTGTCATTGTAAAGCATGCTTGTATGGAATGGAGACTGTCGAATCAAACTAGTCTGGATAGAAACTCTTTTTCTTATTTCTAATGTCACTCACTAACTATAAGAACAAAACAAGAAAACAAATTCAACTGCATAAAACATCAAGAGAAAACAAATGATCGAACTTTAAAAAACAGAAACTCTGATCAAAACTGTCATTCCCCTTTGATAATTTGACAATTCCAACTCCTAATGACATCAGTAGGCTCGACGCATCATTTTTTTCGGCTTCTTTACAAAACTCAATCGAATTTGCTTAAGACGTCTCTTCTTCCTTGCCATCTTCTCAGGAAAAGTTTCCCGCTTCTTCTCCTTCTTCGCAGCCTTTGGCTTCTTCTTCAAGAATCTCGGATCCGCCTGATATGCCTTTTGTGTCAAAGCCACCCCTCTCTTTTGAGCCTCATTAAACAGGGCAGTGGCTCTATCAGCACGGTTGTGAGCATACAGTTTTCCGATCAACAGATCATAACTCTTGATCCCAGGCTCACATCCATCCTCCTTCATCTTCTTGAAAACACGCATAGCATGATCAATCCTCTCAATACCACACAAAATCTTCATGAATCCATAGTAGGCCTTCTTATCAAGAGCCCCACCGAACCCGGCCGACTTCATCCTATCAATCATTTCATCCCCTTCCCCAATCCTCGCTGCCTGATACAAGCTTCTGATCAACACAAGGAACGTAGTTTCATTTGGATAACAACCCCACTGACCCATTCTATGAAACAAGTTCAAAGCATCCTCGGTCTTCCTAAGCTTACACAAATTACTAATCAACACATTGAAAGTCTCCGCATTTCTTGGAACCCCATGAGTGTCCATATCCACCAAGATTTGCTCGGCCTCCAAATGAAGGCGAAAAGGATCCTTTTTCCTACAAAGCTTAGAAACGCAGTCAAGAATGGCATTGTAAGCAGTGGTACCAATCTCAAACCCTCCTCTATACATCTCCCCAGCCAATCTTCGAGCCTCCTCAAGCTTCCCATCAATACACCAACCCTTAATAAGCAAATCACAAATATACTCATCAGGGAAAAACTCATTGGCCAAACTTTTCACCATTTTCTCAGCATTACTCGCAAACCCATTTTCACAAAGCTTCTCCACAACCAATCTAAGCGAAGCTTTGTCCCTCTTAAGCCCATAGTCCTTCTCCATCCTCTCAAAGAAAGAAACAGCCTGTGCGGGCCTCCCAGCTCTCACCAACCTATCAATGGAGGAAGCAAAGGTTTTGGGCCCAGCAACCCCACCTGCACTAACAATCACATCATGGGTCGCCTTGAAATCCTTTCTCCTACCAAAATAATCCACAAAATACGAGAGGGTCTCATCGGTGTGCTCAAAAGTAGGGTTTGAGATGAGCCACTCGTTAAACCCTATAACTGCACGGCCGGCATCAGGGGACAGATTGAGCACGGACTGGACCAGGGAAGGAGTCGGGGTGATGTGGGAGAAGCTCAATTGTAGGCGTTGGGTGACAGAGAGAGGATCGGAGCTAGGGTCTATGAGGAGTTCAGAGGAGAGAGACTGAGCTAATTGGGATTGATCCGAGTCGTGGGCTGGTGAGGTTGAGGAAGAAAAGGGTTTAGAGACACAGAAATGAAGAAGAGAGAGAAAGTGAGAGCTTGCTGTTGTGGTAATGGCGGGTTGGGCATAGTGGAAATGGGTGGGTTTTCTGGAGTGAAACAGAATGTGGGTTTGAATAGTTGGAGAAGAAGATGGTGATGAAGACGAGGTAGAGAGGTAGCGGAGCAAGAGTCTCCGGAGTTGCAGAGGCTGTAAAGGCCGCATTTTGACAGAGACGGAGGTGAAGAAGCTCACTGTGAGAGAAGAGATTTTGATTCTTGAAGGAGGAAGTAATGAAAACCTAAACGTTCGTGCAATACCAGAACGCAGCGTTTTAATGACTTTCTATTAATTGGGCTGCTCCTAGAACCTAACTGGGTAGGCAAACATTAGGCCCAATAAGAAAGACATTAACCCTACTAAAGCAATATGGGTCAGCTCAAACAGTTCAAACAACGGGTCATAATATGTCCGTTATCTATCCGATTTGATTTTGTTGGGCTTTAAACCCACAAATAATCTTCTTCAATTTTTTTTCTGGATCGAACAAAATCGTTCTTGTAATAAGAAGCTTGTAGCTCAAGTAATTAGGAGCATTTATCTCTGCACTTGACCTGAGGTCCTATGCTTGTGTAAAAATATTTTTAAAAAATCAACAAACAAAATCATTCTTGTGCGTTACTGTTTTGTATCAGACAGATTCAAACCAGAATTTGCACATGCTTCTGCACAAAAGTAGTGTACTTTATGTGTTTGATAATTCAAATGGAAAGACATGGATACGGATGTGATTAAACTCTCTAAGTCGTTCTTGTGTGTGACTAGGCTTGGAAATGCTACCTATATCCAACTGATGATAACCAGCACCGACTTATAATTCATTACTCATCACAAGCTTTTTAACTCAAAGTAGCTATGCTTTGCAGACCTAAACATCTTTTGGCGGCTAACACAAGACATGAGCAGTGAAATTAATCTCAGAAACTACCCAAATGTATCTTTTAGCAACTTAATTATCTCACTAATTTTATATTCAAATTAAGGGGCCTTGTTGCGCGCGCATATTGAACTTGTTGCACACCATTATATGTGTTAGATTGCCAAAGGGTTAGTACTGATCTGATCACAGACACAACCTTTTTTTTCTTCTTTTTTTGAGTCAGAAAAGTGAGAAATAGCAGTGCTCTCTCTCTCTCTCTCTCTCCGCGTAACCATCATTGCTGTGATTGTCATCATTATAATCACATATAATTAATGATAAAGATGGCGAAGAAGGGACGCATAATTAGGCATGTAGAATGTACATGTCTGTGTGGATCCCATTTCACACTAAGATCTAAGATAGCATAAACAAAGATAGCAGCTAACTTATTTGGACCTGCATATGTACTCAAAGGAATATAATTAGCTATCCAAGTGTGAACCCTTTGGCACAGCAAAACAACTAGTTTGATTAAAAATTCATGTGCCCTACAACAGGGTCTGGTTTTTCTTCCTACCTGGGATCACGAAGACAAGTTTCGATTGATCCCTTCGGTTGGCATCACTTATTTATGCATGTCTAATTAGTAATTATAATGCTAAGCACTATAATTAGTGGTCCATATGGGAAGTTTTCTCAAATTGTGTTCAGCTTTAGCATGTTAAAGCAGATGTTGGAGAAGCATCCAACAAGAGAATATAATGAACACACACAATAAACAAATTACTTGATGATGACTAGCCACTTTAATCCGCTTGAAATTATGTAAAGCGTTGCGTAGTACAAATATTATAACCATTTTAAAAAATAAAGAAAGAAATTCAGCTCTTAGAATATTTATGTGTGTGGTTAGGGTGGCGGATGATGATTTGCTCGAATGTGCCTCTTCTTTAGGGCTTTCGAACCTCTAGGGTTTTCTAGCAGAGTAGGCAGCCCTGGTTTGTGTAGTACATATTCTTTATTGAAAACTTGGCTTAATTACCCAAAATCATGACCTCCTCATGGCAAGCATGAAGATCAGTGTGGGCCTCATCTGCCATGCATGCTTGTAATGGTGATCACTTTTAAAATTCTTTTAAATGCTTTTTCTATTTTCTAAATTGTCGAAGAAATTTTCAATTCCGTGCTTGTGTACGTGTACATAGAGAGAGATTTAGTTAAGGGATCTCTCAAATATGTTTATTTGAAGAACACCATTGTAAATCCCACTACATATTATATTTCAAATATCCGAATTGTTTAGTTTTTAGATATTCTCTCAAACATCATTTCTACAAAAAAGTCACTTAAACCCCTAAGAATTTGACCACTCAGTTAATAATACCGTGCATAACAACTAGACAGTAGTGTTGGATACTGCCTCAATATAATTAGTTCCAACTATATGCCTTATTTGTTGATGTTTCCACATGTGGAAAGGAACAAAGCAAACCTAGATAGGCATCTTTAAATGCAATGAGAGGTCATAAGAAAAAAAGAACCTTTGCATTGGCTGCAGCCACATCTGACTTATTTTAAATTGGCTAATTATTACTTAAAATTGGTATGCAAGCAAAGGCAGTCGTAACATTCAGTCTTAGCTAGTAATATTTAAATAGGGAAAATATAAAAGGCTTAGAGAATAAGGTGAGGAGACTGATGATTATTGGTGGTCAAATTAAAGGATGATTCCTTTCCTTTTTTCAATAGAAATTCTAGGGTTGTATTCATAATTCAGTCAAAAAAGCCACCGACCACAAGAGTCAATACAAACTAACCACAAAAGGTTATTACAATAATAGAGCTGTTACACGATCTTATTTATTTTGTATTTAACACAACATTTGCAACCCACAAAAAAAAAAACAAAACAAAACAAAACAAAACAAAAAAAAAAACCTCGAAAATACTGGCTAGCCAGCTAGCTAGATGCCAATTAGTGACTCATAATTCTTTATGAAACTTTTTGCATCCAATACCTTCTGGCATATATCCATGCGTGATGATACGGAAAGTTTTGTGCCCAAAAAAAGTACAGATTTTGTTAACATGACATGATATCGCAGCCATACATACATGATCATGTGGCAAGAATCATGAAAAATATATGGGTTTTTTGAATTATATGAGAGCCAATTATACATATGTAGCAAAGATAGTGATATTTTCGTCATCGGATTCTTATGTACGGATGATATGCCATTTGCTGCTGAACGTATTCACTATACGTAAAATCCGGCCACACCACAAGTTGTTGCATTATTTATTTTTCATATGTTTTCTTTTCCTTCTTTTATGATGGTGAGATTTGAGAATTTGATACAAGGGATAGGAGGAGGAAAGGAATATATAGGGATGGGGGTGTGACTGAGAATCACTTAAAAAGAGAAGAAGGCCAAAAGCAACTTGCATGCATTGATGTGGTCTGGGGATAAAATATATGCAAAAATAGGGTTGGTTAATTGGATATTCAAATCTGTTTGCATCTTTCTTTATAGCTAGAAAAAAAAGGAGCAAAGCTTTTCACAGGCACATCTTCACCAAGATATATTCTTCAGAAGGATTTGGATCTCATAAAAGAGGTGAGCGAGGTGAGAGGTGAGCCATATCATTGTTTGGTTCAGGTTCTTATTCCTTAATCATTTAAAATCTTCTGCAATATCAATCCTAATGATCAAAATAACCCCTTTTTATTAGCTATAATCACAGCTAGCCCTAGATTAAGGAATCTTAGCCCTTAATTATTTTCCCTCTTTATAATTTTCACATTCAAAATGCTATACGAGATCGATCGTAGAAGATATGGAAAGAAAAGCATTGCAAGAATAAAGAGGGGGGAGTAAAAGGGAAGGCCAATGTTCATGCATACACACAATGACAAATATGTTGCGAACCAACGAATGAAGTTGTTGTGGACATACTTGAAATTTAAAAGAAGAAAAAAATGTAATTTGGACCACCATCACCATGCATGTATGGGGGATCAATTAATTTGCACCCAATATCTCTAATTAATTCGCAATTAGGATTTAATTAATTATATGATGCTTCGGTCCTCTAGATTAAATAATAATGAAGGCTCCATCATCATTTCTTGCTCATCACTTAAGCAGAGATTAACAATGAAATTAAGGACAAAGGCAACTGGCATTGCATTGATATATAAATGACAAAAAAAGTTTACAAGAAAGTTCCACAAGCCCTGCATATAACAAAGATAGAAGTAACCCAAACCCAAGCTAAGTCTTGTTAATCAAAGTAACCTAAAGTTCACATGCCCTACCCTTTTTTTTATTTTTATTTTTATTTTCGAAGAACCAGAGGCGCCCTTCCTATCTAACAAAAGCCTAGCTAATTAAAGCTTTTAACATAGTAAATGATCAACTTATTTGATCTCCACCATAGGGCTAGCTAGCCTAATTAACAAACATGCACCACAAGTAAATAGCATTTGATCAGATCACAACCCTAGTAACAGCCTTGCAGACAAGAGAGTGCTTCATTTCCAGAGAAAGTTTCAAGGTCTCAGACAAGTCCACACCTGCAGACTGATCATCACAAGGGACCCACTTGAAGCTCTGCAGCAACTGAGCAAGCCACAGCTCCACAGTGGCCAAGCCCATGGCTTTACCAGGACAGGTTCTTCTTCCAGAGCCAAAAGGAGCCAGCCTTAAATCAGAGCCCATAATGGGAACATCTTCATTCACGATGAACCTCTCTGGTTTGAATTCGTTGGGATCAGACCAGATCTTCTCATCATGTGTAATAGCAAACATGTTGACCATGGCAGTGGTGCCTGCTGGGATGAAGTGATGACCTAAGTGAGTGTCATGGATGGCAAGCCTGGCCCAGGACAAGAGGGGTCCTGGTGGATGCGTTCTAAGGGTTTCCTTGACTATGGCATGGAGGTAGGGAAGGTTGGGGAGGTCAGAATCTGATACAGACCGGTTACCGGTGCCTACAACGGTGTCAATCTCTGACTGGGCCTTGGCTTGGATATCTGGGTGTAGAACCATTCTTGCAAGAATCCACTCCAGGAGTATTGCCACTGTATCAGTCCCTCTGAAGATCATTTCCTGAAGTAATGAAATAAAACGTTCATCCTAGCTTATAATGATTATTGTCCTCTTAAATGAATTGGAAAGAAAATAAAATCCCATTATTGTCATCAATGGGATATTAAAACATGACAGTTTCATGATTGGATGAACAAAAGAGAAACTTGTAAAATATGTTTGGATAATAACAAAACAGAAAACAATGGATTCAGAAAACAAGACATGTATAAAATTCTCTTTGCAAAAAGAATAATTGATAGCAAATAGAGAACTGCATAAGAAAATTGGTTTTTAACATAAAGAATCTGAAAACTAACCAGAACAACAATCTAATGAGAAAACGTTTCAAGTATTTCATATACATGTACTTCATTTAAAATGAAAAAAACAAACTTACCCACAGAACTGCAATCATATCAGAGTCGCTGAGTCTGTTCTCCTCCAAATCAAGAAGCACGTCAACAAAATCACCACTTTCGTGATCAGCACCCGCAACTCTCTTCACCCTATGCTCCTCTATGATTTTCCCAACAAAAACATTCACTTTTGCCACCAATTTCTTGCACCTCTTCCTCACACCTTGCAAGTCCAACAAACCCAAAAGAGGAAAGTGGTCACTCCAATTGAAAATCCCAAGCAACTCATACCCTTCACTCACCAACTCCTCGAGCTCATGAGCCTCGCCATCATTTTCACACCCTTCTCCAAACTCATAGCTCCTTCCAAAAACACTCATCATGACATTGTTCAAAGACCCAAAGTGTAACACTTTCCTAACCTCGACCTCACCAGCCCTCTCCATCAAGGCCTTCATCTCCTCCACCATTTTGTGCCCGATATTTTCCCGAAACAAACCGAAACTAGCGATTCTTTTCGGGCTGAACAAATGGGTGGCCGAGATTCTCCTCAAGTTCCTCCAATACTCCCCAAAAGGGGCAAAGCCCATTGCTTTATGGAACAAAAGCTCATAAGCAGACTCTTTAATGGGCCGGTCAGCGAACGCAGAGCTATTCAAGAGCTCTTTAGCTGTATCAGGGTGGCTGGAGATGACAAAACGAGTAAACCCAACAGAGAATGCCATTAAAGGTTTGGCCTTTGAGGTCTCAGCAAGCCTAGCTAGAACTCTGTGAGTCAGAGAGCCAGTGAAGGCCAAGACCAACCCAAGAACAGGAAGGCCAGAAGGACCAGGGATGGCAGTTTTTGAAGGGTGTTGAGCTCTGGACTTGGACAAAGCCCAAGCAAGGCCACCAGGTGAGAGCCAAAAGGAGAAAACAGAGACGAAGAGGAAGACACAGAGAAACAACTCCAAGCTTAAGACTGATGAAAACCCAGTTGGTGGAATGAAGAGAGAGTTGGGCTCCATGGACATTTTTTTGACTCCCTGCTCTTTTTCTTAGTGTTTGGTTAGTCAGAAAATGAGCGAGAATATGAAAAGGCAAAGCTTAGGAAACAAGAAAGCCAAGTGGGATTAAAGCTGAGGAGAGGTTGTGGTGTGAGGAAGAGAAAGAAGAGTGTGATGAGTTATATAGAGGGAAATGTGACTCTTCAAGTATTTTAACAGCCGTAAACATTAATTTTACTGCGGTCTCCTAGAAGAATGAATTATGAAATTATGATGCCTTGCTCAATTTTTCGTGGACGGATTTACCCCCGGGTGAAAATGAAGAATCAAACTCTGGTATTTGCGCCGTCTCTTTCGGAAAATATTATGATTCTGATATGCTTTTTCATTTTGTTTCTTGCTTTACCTTGCCCCACATTTATGTATGGAAGTGGAATTGTGCGTACGTTCGATAAGTTAGTTGACGGCATGACAGAGGCCATATGGCATCTGAGAGGTCCATAATGTCAAAATCAATTTAATAAGAAAATCTCAGCCGTTCAATTTTATTTTATTTTTTGGGTCGGAACAGCCGTTCCAGTGTTTATAGCTTTGTTGTTCGTTTGGGGTTTAATTCTATAAGTTAATTATATTTTAGTGTTCTTATTTATTTGGTGTTTGGTGGTTCAGTCATTTATTTGACAGTTTTGTTAGAATTTATTTCAGTTTTTATGAGATTGAATAAATAGGATTATTATGGTCATTTTACTTTGTGATGCCTTGTACAAGATGATGGGATGCTAGAGTTGAAGGACAAGAGATGAGAGGGACATTTCATATAAACAGGAACTGCGCTCGATGGCACCAAGACGACGGCGGGGTCGAAAACGCTTCCAAACCGCATAAATCCGGCCAAATTTTTCGCCACCTAACTGTTTATCTCTCTCTCTCTCTCTCTCTTGTCGAATCTATCTCACTCTCTACTTTTGGGTTAGAAATAGTCGTGTAATATAAAATTAGACAAGAATAGTGATGATGCAAAATTAGTGAAATGTCAATCACTGTAATTTTATTGTACCTAACTTCTCTTATATTCTAAAACTTAATTTTGTAGCAAATGAGGGGCTTAATTGTATAAAAGGATTCAGAAATAGTTAATGCAATTTCATGCCCAAATTTATTGCATACTTATAAGCATATACAATGCTAAATTAACAGAATATGGGTTAGAAAAACTTGAAAAATTGGTCGAGGCAAGTACTTGCCACTTTGTCTTTAAGACAATTTACACCTCATTATAATGCTCAGTGGCGGAGCCACTCCTAGACCTGGAGTGGCCCTGGCCCCCCCATATTTTTACCACTCTTCGATTATATTATATATAATATATAGAATTTGTAATAAATAACTTAGAATTTAAGTTAAAATGTCCTCTAAAATAAATTAGATATGACTTAATTAGAAATATTTAGCTCTAAACATGTAAGTATTGAATATTTAAGTGTTTTATATACTTATATTTTCTATTTCGGCCCCCCCAACTTTACAATTCTAGCTCCGCCTGTTGTGGAGGCGCAGTTGGAGAAACCAACAAGACTTGTAGACTTGTTCATTCAGTAGAAGTATTCATAAACTAAATAACAGTGCTAGAAGTTGGTAATTACTGCAGCTTATGAACCCCCCTAACTTTACAATTCTAGCTCCGCCCATGATAATGCTTATGGTTGATCGTCACTTGTCTGCTAAGATACAATGACCACAATGATCTCTAATATTAGTGCACTATTTATACGAATTTGCAAGTGTCACAATTACTTATAACATGTGTGAGACTTGCCCTATTTATAGATGATGAAGAGCCATTTCCCAAAGTATGTGACTTTTAAAGTCAAGTGTGCATCTTTTCACTTAAAATGACTTTTAAAGCCATTTCCCATATGTTAGGATCTCTAGTAAGTTAGGTTGGATATCCATTATAACGACTTTTAAGATTTAGGCTTATAAACTCATTCCCCTCGATGATCAACTAACTCTCAAATCATACCACTATTAATTGGATTCATTAGGTTGACTATAAGCTTATGGTGTTAGCGAGATTGAACAAAACAAATTTGTGATATCTCCCTTTTTATTTTGTACTGTTCGTATCCTAGCCCTTGATACAAAAGTGGACATATATTCGCACCAAATATGGTTCATGATGCTGTGAGTGTATGTTACCATCAACAGTACTCTCAAGTTCTTTTTTAAAGTATACATACTTGTGGCTCTAAACGCAGACAGATATATGAATTTATTTATTTTATGTGCTGATTTATAAACTTTTTAGTCCTTTCTGATGACTGACCAACGCATTCAATGAGTCGTAGTGATGACGTTGTGCAATTGAAAATTACATGAAAGTTTATTGTATTTATATATACATAACTAGTACGTAATTTCCATGAAAGTTTCTTCCAATTCGAACTAATTCATCAATTTGTCAAGTTGTCTTGTTTAATCAAATTCCTCTCATTGTTTATATATATATATATATATGCACTATTGTTTTACTTTTATATTCCAAGATCAATATTTAATAATTTAAAGGGCTTTATGGCATGTTTGGTATCCTACTTGAATCCAATTTTATAAACTCTATTTTTTTTGTCGAAACTTATCCAATTTTATAAACTCAAAAACATATTTCAAATCCAAAACCACAAAAACAGGTTTGGTAGACCCATTTTTAAAAACTCAAACCCAAGAAAAACTCAAAAAACACCTCTATTATTTAAAAAAAGAAAAAAAGAAAGAAGAGGTTTTATAGTTATTTTTTTCTCTCTCTCCTTCCTCTCTTCACTCTTTCTCTCTCCTCCCTCTCTGCACGCTCCACGCTCTCTCTCCTCTCTCTCTCTCTCTCTCTCTCTCTCTCATCACTATTGAAAACTCATGTTTTTAAAAAATAAAAAATAAAAAAATCATATATTTTTAATTTATTTTTTTGAGTAGCCTTAAGTTTCAATTCAAGAAAATGAGAGGGATGTGTGAAGCACTGTCTATATAGATTTGTGTATATTGTGCTATTTGCTATGAATTCTGATTCTAATTTCCTCGCCAACAGTACCATCATTATTCTAAATTAGTTTGTGACTGCTCACAAGTCATAAATATCATCTTATGTTGATTCTCATGTATTTTTCTCTTATGCGGACATTCGCACGTTATTATTGTGTGAATGTCATATATTTTTTACTATCTATTCATGCTTTCTTTTCTGTTTACAATTGCACACGTGCGTATAAGAGAATAACTATACAGTAATTCAACATTTCATGAATAGTGTAGACGAATCATAAGTTATTTTATTAGTTGCAGTACTTTATGTGAACAGACCTATATATATATAGTTTAAATTACCACGAAATTGAAGTGATCAATTTCCACGACACAAAACCGCGTTGCATGCATTTGGCGCCATGCCACCCCCAAGTCTTCTAGCTAATGGCTGTAATTAATTTAAGGAAGATGTCTAGGAAATGACATAAAAATTTACAAAACATGCTTGTCATATTGACTAATTGTCGCGTGGCTGCCAACTGTAGCTTTTGACCAAAGTGAACCAAAACCCAACTGGTAATTTCTTCCCAACTGTAGCTTTTGCCGAAGCCATGCTAGCTGCACCAGAAAGCATTCATCGTGTCTGCCAAACTAAATCTGGAGGGCCAATTATCGCTGCATGGACATGCTTAATTTATTGTATATATGAAATTGCATGCATATATTATAATAAGCAGCTATTTTCTGTTATAATATTCTGCAGATTCCTTGGTGGACGCTAATATGTTTGGTGTGTTTGCCAAATGAGTAGCAGAAATGCAAATTTGAAATCGCATGAGAATTGTTTATTAATTTACTCTCAACATCTTTAGGACGTACTGAGATATGTTTGCTGCACAATAACCCTACAAGCTGGGTTTCTTCTTCTCTGCTGACCACAAGAATAACGTAATGTTATAATTAATACAATAATATGAATTATTGTATAAGATATATGAAGCTAATCGGTAGACAAGACTCAGACATGTAAAAAAGTTTTGACCATGTTGGATAAAGTAATGGAGTATTGTGTAAAAATATTGGATGCTACGTTTGCAGCTGTAATATTCTTCCTAGGTAAACGCATAGATTCCATAACAACATGCAGACAATATTTGCATACATATGATCACTTATGTTGAACAACGTTAAAAAGCTATGTTGATTTATGTACTACTTTTGGGGTCAAATAATTAAAAGGATCTTTCCAGCTCAATTTGGTACCATCTTGGGGAACATTTACTTGCTTTCTAAGCATAGACCAGGTCAATTGCCTACAAGGTTAAAAAGTCTTGTTATGTTGTTAATTAGAAAATTAATACACATAACTGATTAATCTGATGCCACATGGTATCATGCATCTCAATTTGTACATTAGGCCCTAGGGTTTTTGGTATCTGCGATTCTGCATGACATATGATATATATGCAGCCTTGAACTGAGCAACCTATATTAAAAGAAGAGCAACCTATATTAAAAGAAGATCCCTTAAAGCAAAGGACTCACTAAGTGTAGTGGCTTGGAACAATTGTTTCCTTATAAGAGGTTATGAGTTCGAGTCTTACCACCCGTGTAGTGTGTATGAATTTACAATTTAGTATGTTATCGTCATTCTTAATAGGGAAGGTCCAAAAAAAAAATCCCTTAACAAAATTATATATATTAAAAGCTGAAGTATTCAAGGTCCATTTATCTTATTTTATCCGTTAATTTGGGTTAAAGGCTTTCCAATAAAACGTATGGGCTTCAATATATAAAGAGGGTCACTGTCGTGGGCTTCAGTTTATCAAGAGACTCACTGTACAACATTCAGGTATAAATAGAGCAACTGTTAAGGCCCATTTAGATTCTGGAAAAGCCATTTGAAAATGCTCAAAGTCCTCTCATAATTTCGAATGGAAGCTGCAAAGTTATTCAATCAATATGATAACGAGTCTTTATCAGGTTTATACGCAGTTAACGGTGATAACAAAGGTAACTTCCTGGCAAAACGAACTTCAACAATCAATTATTGAGACATCACATACATGGAGTTGAGTTTTAAAAAGTCGCAAGGTTGGTAAAACTGTCAAGCTACAAGTGGGTTTGCTACATCAACATTCTGCAAATGCAATGTGTAATAGTTTAGACATGGCTCCAACTGAAAATCGAATCGAATTATATGATCAGCAGCCATCTGTGCAAGAAATGAATCCATGGCAATAATAGCTGCACTCAACCATTCCATCAGCAAGTTCTGGACATCTGTTTGATGCTGTTATGCCTATAACTTCCCTGACTAAGCAAAACATTCAAAGCCCTGCAAATCTATTCAATTCCTCTAAACCCCCAGTTCCTCCTTCAAATGCAAAGCCAGGTTTTCAAGAGGTATCTCGACATCAAAGCTGTTGCATTCCTTATCTTCCTGATATCTCTCGTGATTCATGGACCGTTAACAGCCAATCATGGTAGCCAAATCCAGTAATGTTGATTGAGCTTGTAAAAGTGAACATTATTGTTGTTTGCCCCACTGCTACTAGCTTCTTCATTCTATGTCTTGTCTTCTGTGGCGAAACACATGATTATTAATACAAGTCACAGATCAATTCTGACAATGTAATGCAATCAATAGGAATCAGAAAGCTAAGTTACTTGTAAAAAAATACATATCACATCACCGGATGCTTGGTATGTGCATGTTGTATAATTTTCCTGCCAAAGATACTGGCAGGCAGCCATTCGATCAACTGCCCGTCTATGCAAAAACTGCCGCTTCTTCTCTTTTGAAGTAGTATTGATACAAAGGAAACTGATTCATGTATCAGCAATGCATATCCAGATTTCGATTCACTAAACTAAGTTTTCGCAAAATTTTCTACAAGCATCACAAAAGGCAAGTCGCAAAGCCAAATCACTGTATACCAACAAGTATGCCCTTCATGCAGCAGAAGACACTTCATGCCACCAACAATTATTGCATCCATTCAGATTACAGACGCAACAGGCTACCTGGTGAAATCCTCAACTTGAACGATGAAGAGTTACTCACAATCAGTGCAATACTAACCCAGAGATTCCATAAATAACTTTGTGTTCTTCACATCTTCTTTGGATTCTGGATATCTTTGTGGCTTGAAAAGTTTCCATAGTCCAACAGGATGCCGGCTTTGAACTTTAACATCTCCTGAAAATCTCCCAAACATTTTTGCACAATCCGGATATGGCTTGACATACAGATTATAGAATCTAAGCCTGCTAGGCTTGACCAGACCCTTTAACCCCACCTCATAACCAAGCCCCCCTTTTGATCTCAAATACTCTATCACATTGTGCCGAGGAATTATTTGCTTCTCAAAATTCACACCCAAATACTCTGGAACTTCAACCAAACAACGACTATTGAATTTCATCCTAAGTATTAAAAACTCAATCTTTCTCTCAATCTCCCCCACCTTATATATAATTGACCTTGGTTCCTTCCACAACACCTCAAAAGCCTCTCTACGAATCAACCCATATCTGCACAAGCAGTCGACTCTCAGTTTCACTTCAAACCCAGCTCTAAATTCTCCCTCACTGAAAATCTTCTCCTTGATTGGTACCCTACATTTCAAAGTCCTCAAGAATTCCAAACACTGCGAGAATTCACCCAACTCCATGCTAAGGATTCTTGGCTCTTTAATAATCTCTCTGCTAATCACATCCACACTAAAGCCGAAATCTTTAAACTCATAAAGCAATGGCTTCAGCCTATCTTCAACCCCAAATCCTATAAACCCTGGAAAAGAACGAAGAACCCTATCAATTCCATCCCTTGGAATTCCGATTCCGGCCAAGAATTCGAGTCTCCTTTGAATCTCCTTCCCATTCATCAAAATCACTCCTGGGAAGCCCTCTAAAACCTTACTAACGGTGCCATCAATAAAACCTAAACCCCTCAAAACCTCCACACTCTTAAAAAAACCATCTGGGTCTATCTGAAATCTCTTAGATTGTTCCAAAACACTCTTAATCATCAATGGGGAAGAACTCAAAAGCACAAAATTTGAGAAGCCCATTTCCCATTTCTTGAGGAACTGAAAGTCCAAAACCCCAGGACAGTCACATATCAAAGAAACAAGGGAATTCTGGGGTATTTTGAAGGATAACAGTATAACCAAAGACTTCTCTAATTCCTGTATGTTGGAATTCAATAAAAAGTGATTCTTTGACAGGAAATTGTGAAGCAGAGAAGATGGGAAGCCATACCTTTGGAGCAGAGTGGCGAGGGAAATCTGTTTCCTGTATTGAGATTGCTGTGAAAATCTGGGTTTTATTGGGTTTGTTGAAAAGGATTGGGAACTTTGGTTTGAGAAAGTTGGGTTTCTCTTGGCGGTAAATATCTCTATGAAGCGCGTAACTGTGGTTCTGGTTGAAATCCTTATGGCCATTTGACAATTCTGGGTTGAGCGCCAACTACATGTGTAACCTTCCCACCACCCAAGTCCGTTTACGCAGATAAAAGCCTAAAAAGGGAAAAAATAAGGGGTGAAGTGACAACAAAACGAGTAAGAGAGAAGTTCATGTGATGTTGTATTGGGGTAATACCGTAATTTACTAATCCCATCCTGGCACATTTAAATTTTTCTTGTATACTGTTCTCAAAAAATTTGCGTACTCTCACATTTCATTTCCATTGATCTCAGGTGCTGAGGTGACTGTCGATACCCTGTTCTCTAAGAAAAAGAAAGGAACTTCCCGAAAACCCACCAAAAGGCAAAACTATTATACCCACCAAAGAGCGCTCTCATCAAAACTTAAAAAATGCAGAGGCTCCTTCGTTTGAAACTAGCTTCAAACCTCCCCAAAAAGCTCTCAAATCCCACCACCACCACGACTACCTCTTCAATCTTCCACTTTCAACCCCACAAAACGCTTTCTCTCACGAAGCCACCCCAAACCCAAAACTACTTTTTTAGCTCCTTTACCGCACACCCCCTTCACCATCATCTTCATTCATGGAGGTCGCAGCACACTCTCACACAAAAAATTAATGGGTTTCTCTTCAACCCATTACTCAAACGGCAATTTTGTATGGGTTTCTCAAATACCCTTTTGAGAGTCTCAAGCAAGAGTCTTTCAGATTTCAGACTTAGCTTTCTCAGAGCCCAATTTCCCAAACAGAGTTTTCGGTTCAACCCAAATTTTACTTCTCCTCGGAGTCCCTGGTAATGTTTTTGTTTTCTGTTGATCGTCGAAGTTATCTGTTTGATTAAGAAATGAAGGAAAGCTAGTAAATTCAATAACGAATTCCTAGTTTTCTTCCGTAAATTCATTTTTGCTATGATTTCTCCACAGCCTTGATGTTTAATCCGTTGTCTTTTTCCTTTCATACTGTGGAATTCCTGGTTAGAATGTGAGAAATTGTTTCTGGTTTAGTTAGGGTTCTTTCGGTTAATTTGAAGTGTCCTTTTGGCTTATGATTTCGTACTTTCACGGTTGATTTGACCAATGAGAAAAAGGTAAAAGTAAATTAATGTGGCTGGAACAGAAAAGGACGACACGTACCCAATTGTGATGGGTTGACCGTACAAATATTTGTATTTACGTACTTCAAGCCATTGCTTGTTTTTATTCTTCACAAAAGCTCCTGCATTTGCAAATGCTCTTGCCACATTTTGAAAGTTGATTGCTGATAACTGCAAACTTCTTCTGCCCACATAGTACAAGAATGCAGTTTGCCATTACATAACATGTGAATAATGACTTTTGTTAATTGTTATTTAGGAAATCAAGAACAAATCTGCTTGTGCAAAGTATTAGTTGTCATACAACATGAGTAGGTGGAATAGTTTGGGGCCTATAATTCCTTTGTATGTGAAAAATTGCCTTTATATTATTTGGGTTATAGAAAATACAATAAAGGTTTCTGTTTTGTGAGTTTAAAGAAATATATTACTTTGCTTGTGGCCAGGTAGTCATTTTCTCCCCTCTGAATTAAGTATTAATTTGAATTTCAGTTTCTGATTCACAATGTTTCTTCTAATTGTGCTATAAGATAAGTACAGTATCAAAATATGTCATCTTAGTATTGAAGGGAAATATATGGACGAGATAGAATATCAACCAACACTGGTCTTCAGGCAGGAGTTCTTAGATTTTCCACCGCTAACTTCCATCTTGATATCTCATTTTTTGTTTTTAAAAAAAAAAAAAATTTCTTTAGGTATTAGAGCAAGATGCTTCGAATCTCATGATGGCTTATCTATGATAGTTTCTGTTGAGAAATTATCTGGACGTATTAAAGCATAGTAGTTATCATAAGCGTTCTACACTACTGTACTACAGCACTACTGCGGAGTGTAGACTCTGCTCATTCGTATCAAATTTTGCCTATGTGCAGTTTCTTTGGTAGTGTTAATCTTCTTCTCTCAACATAATTTTATTTATTTATTTAAAATTCCATTAGCATGTCATAGGGTTCAGTTAGTTCCTTCTCTTGTTTAAGAAATCAGAAAACCCAGGATCCACTTTGCATCCCCAAGTTTCCTGTCTCAATGTATGTAAGTTATCTTCTGCCAGTAACATGATTTTCTCCTATTCACAGGAGATCATGGTTCCGAAGGGTATCTGATGGTGATGTGGTTTTGGGATTGATTATAGCTAATGTTGCTGTTTTTATTTTATGGAGGATTGCAGATCCTAGCTTCATGGCAAAGAATTTTACCGTGAGTCCCTAATTAACTAAATATTGTCAACTTGTCATAAGACTTTTTTGCCTGAGACACCTCTTCGTGGGATCTCTCTTGTTGAGAAATAAAAGATTTTATATTTGAATGTGAATCCATTGGTTTCTTATAAGTAACTCTTTGCAGCTGCTTATTAGTCTAGTGTGTTAGCATTCCATTTTTCACTTCAATTTGATTTTCTGTAACCAGATTTCATTAGACAATGTTACAAGTGGACGTCTGCACACATTGATAACTTCTGCATTCAGTCATATGGATGTTGGCCATATCATTTCTAACATGATTGGATTATATTTTTTTGGGACGAATGTAAGTTGATTTCCTCAGAAGATTTTTTTTTAAAATTTATTAATTTTCTTTTGTTTCGGGGGGAGGGGTTAGAAACAGTACATCATAACGTTGATCACGTCCAATCTATATGAAGTGGTATATTCAATGAGTTTCAATAATCTTTCTTATTTTTTTGGTGCACTGACCAGATTGGAAGAGTTTTTGGGCCTGAATTTTTGCTAAAGTTGTATCTAGCTGGGGCTGTTGGTGGCTCGGTCTGTTTCTTGGTGCACAAAGCCTACATGGCCGCGTCATCGAAGGTAAAATGATACTCAGCTTATGTGATACAACCATTTTCAAGGATAAAGTTATATAATTCATTGCTTTTATCAAGATGATAATCGACAGATCAACTTTTTCACAAGAAAATGCAAGTAATCAGAGAATGGAAACTCCTGGATGGTTATGTGAATATACAGTCTTGAGTATTTGATCACAATCTGCTGTTTGCAGGGCCGGCAACCATGGAACATGGACCCATCAAAAATACCGGGACTGGTATGCTTTCAGAAACTCTTTACATGCTGTGCTCCTTACTTTTACGGATTGTTTGACTAAGAGTTGAGAATTTTACTCAGGGTTGTTATCTAGATGAAATTTGTTGACCTTTAATTCGTTTCAGTGTTGTGTGTGTTTGTGACATGTAGGGCGCAAGCGGGGCTGTTAATGCTATCATGTTGCTTGATATATTCCTCTTCCCAAAATCTACCCTCTACTTGGAGTTTATCATACCAGTTCCCGCCATCCTGCTGGTAAGTTTGATCTATGTTAGGTGATTGGTTGAGGCTATTAAGAAAATCCTTGAAAACTAACCTCTTCTTTTTTCCATTTTAGGGGATCTTTCTAATTGGGAAAGATGTCTTGAGGATAATAGAGGTACGTTGATTATCTTCCGGTTTTCAAATTTCATTTTGTGTCTCTGTTCATGGTGCATGTCTGGTGTTTACATTGGGCTTGAAACAGGAGTAGGAGTTGAGTCATGGTTATCCTCACTCGATGGTTTTCAGCCAATCGATGATTTCACAGTTCGACCTTGTTTATTGTGCTTGTTTTTATTTTCTGCAAGCATTATCCTTCGAGTGATGTAATGGAGCCAAGTTGGAACCATGTGCAAACTGTCATTCATATAACTGAATGATTTGGAACTCCAAAATTGTCTTTCTGATGCCATCAAATCAATGTTATTGTTATTTTCCAGTCAATTTAATGGTAACATTATTTTGTTATTGTAGGGAGACAGTCATATCTCAGGAGCTGCACACTTGGGGGGTGCTGCAGTTGCAGCCATAGCCTGGGCACGGCTTCGGAAGGGGCGTTTTTGAATTTCGCAACGACTCTGCAGATTACACAACACTAGGAAACTAAGATAGTCCACCATATTAGCCAGTACCTTCCAGCTGGTTGTTCTCCTGATTTGAATTTAGCTTATTATCCATTGATACAGACTTGACAACCTTTCTGAACTCATCTCAATTAGAAATTCTGATGATTCAAACACGTTAAACGATCTTTGTTGAGGAAAAGTAGTATCATGTTACACAAATTGAATATCTTTGTGTATGGTATGCGAATCACAACTCAACAAGTTATCTTTGTACTGCCCAAATCAAGGTTTCCCAAGATTAGCTAGCTATTTACAGAATGGGGAAGGACTTAAAAGCAATTGGGGTAATACCGTAATTTAGTCACTCCCAAGTTACTTTCTTTTTCTTCTTCCCAAATTTAAACCTGTGTGCATACTTTCACATTTCCATTGATCTCAGTTGCCGAGGGACTGAAGCTACCTTGTTATCTAAGAAAAAGGAAGGAACTTTTCCAAAAACCCACCAAAGGCCAAAAAACCATAGTACTCACTGAATAACGCTTTCATCAAAACTTCAAAAATGCAGAGGCTTCTTTCTTTGAAACTAGCCTCAAACCTCCCCAAAAACCTCCCAAACTCCTCCACTACCTCTTCACTCTTCCATTTCCAACCTCACAACACGCTTTCTCTCACCAAACCACCCCAAACTCAAAGCTATTTCTTTAGCTCCTTTCCTGCACACCCGATTCACCATCTTCCTCATTCATGGACGTTTCAGCACACTCTCACACAAAAAATCCATGGGTTTCTCTCCAACCCATTACTCAAACGGCACTTTTTTTTGGGTTTCCCAAATACCCTGGTGAGAGTCTCAAGCAAGAGTCTTTCATCAGAGTTCAAACCTGCTGGTCTTTTCAGAGCCCAAATTCGCCAACACATTTTTAAGTTCAGCCCAAATCAGAGTCCCTCATGGTAAAAGTTTTCTGTTCATGTCGAAGTTATCAGTTTGATTAAGAAAATGAAGGAAAAGCTAGTAAATTCAACGACGATTTCCTAGTTTTCTTCCGTAAACTCATTTTCCCTATGATTTCTTCTCCGCAGCCTTAACGTTTGATCTGTTTTTTTCTTCTTCCACATTGTGGAATTCCTGGTTAGAATGTGATAAGTTGTTTGTTTGAAATTTCCTTTTGGTTTGCATTTTCACGGTTGTTTGTTTTTGACCAATGAGCAAAAGTAAGTGTGCCTGCAACAGGTCAGGGAAGGACGACACGTATCCAATTGTGACTGGCTGACCGTACAAATATTTCCATTTACGTGCTTCAAGCCATTGCTTGCTTTTATTCATCACAAAAGCTCCTGCATTCTTGACTGCAAATGCTCTTGCTTGGCATTTCAAAAGTTGATAACTGCAAAACATCTTCTGCCCACACAAATTACAATAATAACATTTGAAAAATAGTGACTTTTGTTAACTGTTATTTAGGAACTCCTCAAGAACAAATTTGCTTGTGCAAAGTATCAGTTGTCATATAATTAACATGAGCAGGATGAACAGTCTAATATGCCTTCGTATGTGAAAAATTGTCTTCAGATCATTTGTGTTCCTATTTCAATGTATGTAGGCTATTTTCTGTCAGTAATGTTTTCCTCTTTGCAGGAGATCATGGTTCCGAAGGGCATCCGAGCGTGAGGTGGTTATGGGATTGATTATAGCTAATGTTGCCGTGTTTATTTTATGGAGGATTGCAGATGATAGCTTCATGGAGAAGAATTTTACCGTGAGTCCCTCAGTTTGAAATTAAATTATAACATAATGTTGTCAACTTGTCATATGACGTTATTTCTATAACATGATTTCATTTACTTCAATTTCGTAATTTGTTGATTTTCTTCTGTAACCAGATTTCATTAGACAATTTTACAAGTGGACGTTTGCACACATTGATAACTTGTGCATTCAGTCATATCGATGCTGGGCATATCACTTCGAACATGCTTGGACTATATGTTTATGGGATGCATGTAAGCTAATTTTCTCTGAAGCTTTTTTTTTTTCCTAGTAATTTTCTTTTTGGGGGAGAGGGAGGGGGTGGAGACACGTATATATCATAAACTGGTACTGTAAGGTATTAAATTTTGTTTTGGAATATCATTCAGGTGGACAATAATAATATATCATGATATTGGTCTCTTCCATGATTTATATATAGTGATATATTCAATCAGTTTTACAATCTTTCTCTCTTTTAAATGGTGCACTGATCAGATTGGAAGAAATTTTGGGCCCGAATTTTTTTTAAAGTTGTATCTAGCTGGGGCTGTTGGTGGCTCGGTCTTCTTCTTGGTGCACAAAGCCTACCTGGCTGCGAACTGATACCCAGCTTATGTGATACATCCATGTTAGGATATAAAGTTGCATAGGTCATTGCTTTGCATATATTGCTCATGCTATCCTCAAAATTATAATCGAAAGATCAATTGTTCTTGTTTACAAGAAAATGCAAGTAACTTTTATATTGAACGTACAATTTAGAGAATGGTAAGTCCTGGATGGTTTTGTGAATATACAGTTTTGAGTATTTTATGGTATGTAATATGCTGTTTGCAGGGCGGACAACCAATGAAGAAGGACCCATCAAAGATACCGGGACTGGTATGCTTCAGAAACTGTTTACATGTTGTGGTCCTTACTTTTCTCAACAAAACAAGGACAGAGGAAAACATATTCCTTGGTGTTCATTTGCCCAACAAATCTGAACAACAGCTAGCCTAGAAAATGAACTCTAATTCATTTCACTGTTGTGTGCGTTTGTGTGACATGTAGGGCGCAAGTGGGGCGGTTACTGCGATCATGTTGCTTGATATATTCCTCTTCCCAAAATCTACCATCTACATGGAGTTTATCATACCAGTTCCTGCCATGCTGATGGTAAGTTTGTTTCATCAGGTGATTGGTTGAGGCTATTATTAAGCAAATCCTTGAAATCTTACCTCTCCTTTTTCCATTTTAGGGGATCTATATAATTGCGAAAGATCTCATGAGGATAATACTGGTATATTATTTGGTTCTCTTCCTGTTTTCACATTTCTTTGGTGTTTATGTTATTTGGTTATCAAACCAGTGCCACTGTGATTTTCTAGTAAATAAATTTAGTGGTAACATTATTTTGTTATTGCAGGGAGACCAACATATCTCAGGATCTGCGCACTTGGGGGGTGCTGCAGTTGCAGCCATAGCCTGGGCTCGAATTCGGAGGGGACGTTTCTGAACTTTGTACCAGCTCTGCAGATTTCATACCAACAACATTAGGAAACTATGCTAATTAACTATCAGTCAGTGCCTTCCAGTTGGTTGTTCTCCTGGTTGAAATTAGCTTATCATCCATTGATTTGATACAGACTTCATAACTGTCCTAATCCCCATCTTAATGTGAAATTCTGATGATTCAAAATCAAACACATTTAAGGATCGTTCTTTTGTTGAGGGAACTCTCTGGTATGTGAGTCAGAACTCAACAAGCTATCTTTGTAGTAGTGACTCTGTGGTATGTTGTAGATGTTTGTGAACAGTTGACTGTTGATTGGTGGGTCTTGTTTTGTATTCTATAGCAAGGTCACACTAATATTCTCTGGAATAAAAGAGAATGCTATCTTCTACGTATAGCCCTGACAAGTTTCTTTGTGGGCTTCCTTCTCAAACCCCATCTTTGTAATTGTACACAAGAAACTTGTCAGAATTATAGTACAAGGCCCATGCGCTATTGGCCTCAAATCCCAAAACTTAAACGATCACTTCTGTTGATATCAAATCGTAAATCTAATGTGACATGTAACGTGTCCACCCAAAAAAAAAAAAAAAAAAAAAAAAACCAAATTTGTGTTCCAAGCGTAAATGGAATAAAAGCAAAATTTTACCTTTGATTCTTTTATTTTCCTAATAAAGAACGACGTCGGACCTTATATAACAAACCCATCGATGATACCCAAGTTTCAATGTACGTGCATGAAATACAAATGGAGTGGAGACATATAACGTGTCATTGACTAGTTTTTTTCTCTAACAAAGGCAATTTTGCTGAAGTTTATCATGTATCATTTTTTTATGGGTATATGCATAAATTTATTATTTTAGTTTTTAATTTAATTTTTATCAAATAATAATAAATCCCCAAATCACCTCCCTAGTGAACACATTTTTCTCTCATTTCCCAAAGAACAGCATTTATCTCTCTTGTTTTGGACCCTCTGTTTTATTATTTTAATGATTTATTTCCTTATTTGCATGAACTCAATAAAATCAATTCAAACACAGAAAACCCCGATTAAAAAAAAAAATCATCTTTGTAATTCAACATCTTTCACTTTTTCGCATTTTCTACCAACTGGGTATCTCTCCCCCGGTTGTTACCCAGAAAATGAGGTGGGAAAGGGTTCAGCTACAGCCCAAACAAGCTCACCAGCAACAGCAGCAACAAGAATTGTTGTGTGAGATATCTGGGCCAGGGAAGAGGTGGGGGCACACCTGCAACGCCATTAAAGAAGGGAGGTTGCTATATGTCTTTGGGGGTTATGGCAAAGATAACTGTCAGACCAACCAAGTTCACGTTTTCGACACTGGTGGGTCTTCCACAAAAGCGAAAAAAATTTCCCAAGATTTTTGCGTTATTTATCTATTTCCATTTTTTTCTATGGGTTTTTGTAATCTTGGTTTTGCCTTATTGCTTGAAATTTTTCTGGGACAAAGTTTGAATTTTTCTGATATACCCTGTAGATTAGCCCATGCGGGTAGTGGGCTTGTAATTAGGGTTTTTGTTGGGTTTAATTTGTTAAATTTTTCATGGGTCTTCTTGTTTGGAATCAATGCTGTGATGGGTTTCTGCAACAATACTTGCGTAGACGCTTAATGAATATGCTAGTGAACTTTGATTTTAGGGGTTTCATTTGTTAACTCCTAAAGTTGTTTTCTTTTTTGTTTTTTGTTTGGTTATACAATTTCGAATAGTGCTTCCTGTGAGCTCTTTACTTTCATTTTGAATTCTGTTCTAGATGTTAACAGACTAGCACTTTGCATTTGCCTGTGTGTTATTGCATTTTATATGGAGGTAGTTTTGAAATCGTTCAATCTCTCATTCTGAATTGCTGACTGCAGCTACGCATACATGGAGTCAGCCGGTGATAAAAGGAACCCCTCCAACTCCAAGGGACAGCCACAGCTGTACCGCCGTTGGTGATAATCTCTTCGTTTTTGGGGGTACAGATGGGATGAACCCTCTCAAGGATTTGCATATATTAGACACCTGTGAGTGAATTTCTCTCTTCTCTCTTTGCTTTTTTACTGGCTAGCTTTTCTAGTGTGCTCACCCTTGGATTTATCTACACAGTATCAGTTGACTAATGCTATATTATTATGGGTCCAGTAATTCAATCAGATGATTATACGTCCAGGGTGACAATTAACTTATTTTGAAACCAGATATAATCTTTCCATTTACTGGCACCATTACTGTTTAGGGCTGTATCAAATTCTTTATAACTGTAATTACCACCAATGTGCTCACTTATGTTTTTAATGTTTGTGTAGCTTCACATACATGGATATCTCCAAGTTTAAGAGGCGACGGACCGGAGGCACGAGAGGGTCATAGTGCAGCCCTTGTTGGGAAACGGCTTTTTATATTTGGTGGCTGTGGAAAATCATCTATTAATAGCGATGAAGTGTACTACAATGATCTTTACATTTTGAATACAGGTGAGTTTCAATATAAGGTTAGTTTATTGATCACTTTGGTGAAGATTGGCTTGAATGAATTTTATGACACTTTTGTGTGCAAACAATTATCATGCAATTGACTGGACTACTCACATGGATATTATGAGTTTACTTATTTGATCCCACTTGCCTAAGGAACTACAAATGAGGGACAGTGAGCAACTAGATTATAATAGCTGTGGGATTAATCCAATGACACGTAGTCTTATTAACTACCCATTTTGTCTTCAGTCTGCAACCCATTTTAGTTTTGACCTGCAAAGAGGAATAAACAGGTTATGCTGATTCCTTATCCAGCCATCTCTCTCCGCCATCCCCTTTCTCTCTCTAGCTCTCTCTCTCTCTCTCTCTGGTTTAAAGCAGATGTATTCAACTTATTACCTTCCATTTCTATTTAATTAAAAGTTGGCGTTTGGACAAAGGTTCAGATTGGGTAAATTACAGGTTGTGGATTGTGAATCCAAAGAAAAATTACATCAATCTGTCCTTTGGTCTTTCTTAGGTCGAATTGATTTGAAAATTTAATAGATATTTTAAGTTGAGAGAGAGAGAGAGAGAGAGAGAGAGAGAGAAAGAGAGAGAGAGAGAGAGAGAAAGAGATAGCTAGGGAGAGGGTTAGAGAGAGAGAAAGTGGATGAGGGAGAGAGATGACTGGATGAGAAGCTGCAAAACACGTTTATTCATCTTAGTGGGTCAAAACTAAATGGCTTTGCTGAATGGTTTTATTGAAGCCAAAATGGTACCTGTGAGGTCTTAAGTGCATAGAAATATATGCCATTGGTTCTATCCTACGGCTTTTATGAACTAGTTGTTCAACATCCCTTGCTTTTAGTCCCTTTGGTGAGCGGATTGATATCTTATTTAGCATAAGTTGTTTGGATAGCATGTGGACCTTCCTAGGGTATGAAGTTGTTGGTGTGCTCTTCATTGAAGTCTATAAGTATTTTGTCTTTGTAGACTCTAGACTGGGAGGAAGGAGGGAGTGAGTATTGTGAGCGTAGGACATCACATTCAGTTTTTATTTTGGCTTGGAGTCACTGATTGATAAAGATAGCACATAATACGTGGTTTACTTCTTTTGTTCTCTTATCTTGTAGAGACGTTTGTATGGAAACATGCTACAACATCAGGCAACCCACCATCTCCACGTGATAGCCACACTTGTTCATCTTGGAAGAACAAAATAATTGTGATTGGTGGTGAAGATGGGCATGATTACTATTTATCCGATGTCCATATCCTTGATGCAGGTATCATAATTTTCTTAAATGACCATTTACAGTTATGTATAATAAAAAATTGTTACATTGGTTATACCTCACTTGTTGATAATATACTTTCTATATTTCTGGAATTTTGTACTTCATTAGATACTCTAATGTGGAGGGAGCTGAACACTTCAGGCCAGCTTTTGCCACCCCGAGCTGGTCATTCAACTGTTGCTTTTGGGAAGAATTTATTTGTTTTTGGGGGATTCACAGATGCCCAAAATCTATACAATGACCTCCACATGCTTGATGTTGGTACGTATCAAGTACTTATCTGAAACATATTCATGTCATTCCGCCACAAACGAGAGAGAGAGAATTCTGTTTTCTTTGAAACATATTCATTCCACATGCACAAGAATGTGAAACATTTTAGGTGATGGTTGACGTCAACCGTCTGTGTCACAATTATATGTAGTTCTCTTATTTGAACTACCAGCTTGATATTTGACATTGGATTTCTAAAGTGAGAGTCACAACATGCATGCCATGGTTCCTTTGGGTTACTTGCTTTTATGAATGGTTTCAGTCTTCTGAGCAACCTTTTTATCTATCCACCTTGGTCTACATGTACTTTATGTTATAGCTTCTTACTTTCTTCCCAGTGGCTTAATGTTTGTGGAATTGTATCATTAATGATACCCACTTCTATCCCAATTGGTACAGATACTGGTGTATGGACCAAGGTGATAACTGCAGGTGATGGGCCTTCTGCTAGATTTTCTGTTGCTGGGGACTGCTTGGATCCTGTGAAGGGAGGTGTACTTGTGTTTATTGGTGGTTGCAATAAAAGTCTTGAGGCACTGGATGACATGTATTACTTATACACAGGTTAAGTATTATCTTTTCATTTTTTTCCCTGAATTATTTGGATTATTTTGTTACAGTAAATATTTATCTGTGTTTGAAATCTGATAAAGTCTTACTGACCTGATATAATTTCTAATTTTAGGACTTACCAGGGAGAGTGAACGGAGGCTAGAGAAATTATCTTTGAGGAAGCAATTAAAGCTAAAGTGCCAAGAGCAAAATCTCACTTCTTTTCACGACAAGCCTCTTGTTAACGTTGGAACTGGTGCAGATATGAGGCAACCCATGACAGTTCCATTTTATGCCCAACCATGTAAGTATTACTGATCTAGATACAGATTCCCCTGTTTTCTCTGGGCATCAACGTGTACATATTGCAAAAAGAATCATAATCACATGTCTAAAAGGAATTTGTTCCTGTAATACATCATGCTGATGTAGTGGTTTCCTTTCTTCGGTGCATCAGGGTCTAGAACCTTTCCTTTCTTTCTTCCAAGTGGTGAGAAAATGAAAGGGGTGGTTGGTTTGTAGATTTTCTATTCATGTTTATCTGCTTTTGAAGTCTCGTTAGAAGTTCAATGTTTTTCTTTGTCCTGCAAAATTTCTCATGACTATTTAGGGGAACTGCATGAGATCAAGCCCCCTTACACCCTGTGGTTTTTTTTCGGTGGAGTATCCCCTATGGTTTTTTATTTTATTCAAATTTGCAAACTTCT